TTCATTGTTAAAGAATTTACCGGTAAACAACTAACACATGAAAGAAATAAGACATTTGACCATTTGATCATATGTGCCTCACTTACATAGGATCCAAGGTAGTTTCTCAGCATACTTTTGGTGATGACCTATGAAATTTGAAGTTGGTGATCTTTCGTAGAGATTAAATGTGCCTTCAGAAGCATTCCAAAAAAGTCGACCGAATGGTTTTCACCCTCAGTGTTTTCCCTGCCATAATAACAACACTACTTGTCTACAGTGGGGCAACCACTCAGTATACACCTCACCAATACAGAAAGCCATCAAAGATCTCGTGATATTTTATGAAGCAGCTGCAAAATCAGATAACCTATATTATCATACTGGTGGCCGACCCTGTGGAACAGATACACTACTATTCACGCATTGAGGAAGAACAACCTAAAAGATACATATAGCCGAGATGATAATCGTGGATTTGATGTGTATTTTCTTCACCCTCTCATTAAACCGAAACGACTTTTAAGGCCAAAACGGGAGCCTGTGAAAACAAGGTCAAATTACGTCCGCGACATATCGTGCAAAATAATAGCACTTCAAAATACTGGGTTGTTTTCGGCTGACTAATATATAAGTGAGATGAAAAATTATGGGCGATCAATAGTTTTCGAGTCTATTTTCTTGAAATAAAACAACACGATTCCATTGACAGATTTGTTTGTTTATTGAGCTTTCAGGCGGTGGCGATATGAAAATTTTATATGCCATCGAGTAATTAATCGTACGTAATACTGAGGCAGGTATATTGCGTGCCGATGGACAGCGTTCATGTGTCTTTTAAGTAAAATGCTGTTTTTCTTGTAATTTAACTACCGGCAATACAAATTTTTCAATGTTCTACAGTTACAAAGTAATAAAAAGTCTATTTTAGGAATTTTCGATGACTCAAGATCAAAAAGCACACCTGACCAAATCTATTTCTAAACCAGTTTCTCTGAAGGCTTTTCTAGCGCTCTTAAAGGTAGCAGAATTTCGAGGACCTGAAGTTTTCAGAATTAGAGTTTGCATAATATACAGATGCTATTTTAAGGGTTTATAGGAACAGTCTTTATGTGGTGTGCCTAAAAAACATGAAAACTTATATGTCTTCGGTGTACCCTCTAAGTACGCTCCTGTCTATAAAAAACGACATGGTCTAAGTTTCCTCATACAGATCAATAAAACAATGGGTATCTAATCTCACTTATTACGAAATATAGTGGAGAACATGTGCTATCTTTTCTTCCCCACTGGAAAAAGCAGTGATGCGGAATTCTCACTATTTCCCTTTCTGGAAAGCTTGTGGAATTCGAAATCCAATTTAGACCAAAAATTAAGTTTTTACAGCTCAAAAATAATGATGTCGCGAAGTTATTCTTGTATCAATTTAGGCACTATATTCCGAATGAAGGTGCAATTTTGAATTCTAAAGATGCTTATCTAGTGAAACGGAAATTTGAGTAAGATAAATGTCTTACTTGCAACTATTTTAATGTAATAACCACGATAGCATTCTTTCTAGAGTAATATATCCGGGACTTAACAAACACTTTAATTTTTTTGTAACATTGCCAGTAAAACCATGCTGAGAATGCCCCTTGAAATTCACTGTGCTTCTTTTGTTCAGCCAAACTATCAAACAATTTATTTTATCTACTTTTAATTTCATAATGAAAGTCAAATCAAATTTAGTGGTCACTGAGAAACACTGTATCTAATATGTGTGTGGCTAGTTACTGATTTTCAATATGACAATTTACCGAATTCACTAATAACGTTTCTACTTATCATCCGCATCTTGAAAAACTACTTATTGGTTGTTATATAACCTAGGGTCAACCATAAATGAAAACTTCCTCACGCAAAGTTAAATCTGACGTTTCCTATTCAGACTTCCTCTGTAACATCATTTTAATTAAAAGCACGAGTGGATGATATTGTCTATCCAGAACGTAGTAGGTACATCTTTAAACTCAGACGGTAAACTAGATAGATAAAAAAAAAGTACCTAATAACATGGCTATTTCTGAATAAGCATTAACAATTAATTTCATTGGAAAAAACCAACATAATAAAAGGGTTCATTGAGATATAGGGATTCGTAATAGGCTGAAAGTTTTAGGAAAAATTAATTCTCTCCTCATTCAGACAGCTGTCAACACTAAATTCCTCAGAAATTTTCACTTCTTTTTCTTAACTGATTAATCGGACTGCTTCCACGAAAACTTTGAGAGAAAACCCGGACTAATTGAGCCTTATATACTATAGAGTTTGTATTGTGCGCAAGTTACGTGTATGTAAACACAGTAACTAAATAAATTCTCTTTCCGTTTAACCAGGCGATTCTGTTTTGAACTTTTTACTGGTTTTCTTCTGATTCATTGAGATCATTTGATTGCTCATTAAGTCAGTCGTAAAATTAAAGTACTTCCTTATCGGATTTCTCTTCGCAACCCAAGTAATCGAAACGTGAATGTAATTTCATCTCTCTACATAAGCACAAAGGCACTGTTTGATGTATTGTAAAAGCTTCATACACTTTGATTTGTGCTGTTGTTCACCATACATTTATGTTTCACAGCGTACTTATTCTTTTCCAATTATACCATTCTCTAATATAAATGTGTCAGTCTGTGCATTCCCGAATAGTCTTCCAGCTGCAATTCCGTGTCTTAACAGTTTTTTATTGCTAAGAATGATAAAAGTTGTTCAGATTGTTACTGAATATCGGTAAAATGTTTAAAAACACTCCAATTACAATTTTCTCCGACTAAAACAATTCCCGTTATGATTTCGGACAATGTCCTGTTTGGATATCCCACTTAAGAATCTTCTGAAACTTTGCCGTAATCAAGATTACTTTTCTTTTCTACACATGTTTTATTAGTTGAACGTAGGAAATAGACTTTTAGCAATGCCTTAATGACATATAATTGGGGTTTTACTTAATAATAACGATAATTTTTGCTTTATTCCAAAACAGTACTAATGTTACAGTACGGATTTTCAGCTTTTGGTTTATGAGCCACAATTATGGTGTAAGAGTTAATGCTACTACTCAGCTATCTAGAATGAAGTAGGGGGAGTGGCATTCAAAACTGTGACCAGCTGGCTAGAAGTCAGTTGTCTAAGAAAACAAACTACATAACAAATGAATGTTATAAACCAATGAAACTACTCAAAAAACAGTTTTAACCCACTGAAATCATGGGCCAGGTGTCATTACATAGATAAACAACAATAAAAATAATGGTAAATAACGTCTAGCTATCTAATAATTTAACTATTTCAACGTTTGGAATGATTTCCACTGAGACGGCCAACTGATATCAGTTAGTGGACCACTGAAAACCATAGAGTACTTGAAAAAATTTCTGTCCTAGCTTATAACTCTTCAACAGTACGCAACCACAGCCTCACCGAAGATCAAGCTCAGGACCTCCATGTTGCAAAATGAGTCTGTTGACCACCAACCCAATGGTTCTCTAATTAGTGTCAGTTCATGATCCGGCTTGAAATCACTCGGATTTCTACAAACTGACACTTGTCAATCTTGTATGGTCAGATAGATTGCCTTCTTCTCAAATAGCATATTTCATGATTCATACTTTACTAATGAAAACATACCAACTGTTCTACAAAGAAGCAATGGTTATGAGATCATGAGTATTTTGGAAGTCGCAGAACTTTAAAATATGTTCCGAATTTCATAAAGGTATTTGCTAATATCATTTTACGCAACTACACATCTCAGACTAGAAGTATTTATCTAAGTCATATGTGGAAATGTCTGATAAACTAATGACATGAAAATGCCAATGATTGCATTTCATCAAATAAAGAAAATATCAAGTCTGTACTTGCAACACGACAAACTAATGAAAAAGTACTTAATAATCAGTGGTTATATAGCCTATTTAACAGCCAAATGTCGTAAGAAAACACACTGTGGATAAATAGGTGGTTGTTTCTAATTTCTGCACATATATATTCCTTATAAGACAGTTGGAGGCGATCGGCAGGAAGCTGTGAACTTAGGTTTCGTGCTTATTGGCACTCGTCAGAGAGGCGTATCTGCAACCTTAAAGGAACTCATGTCCCTTGTGAAATTCGAATTCATATCCTTTCTGAGACTCGAGCCCACATCACTCAGTCTGCAGTCAGAGACTTTGCCACTAAGCTATTCAGGCTCGCGATTGACCTCTTGTGGGACTGTATTGGATACTTTGATTGAACACTAACTATTGTCATGCATCTGGTCCTTTGTTTGCTGCAAACTGTGTTCTATCAGTCAAGTTTGCAATGTGGCCACCATTCCAGATGGCTCGCCAACATGGTGTACTCAGAATTGTTTTCATTAGATGGATGGAGGCATCGTAATGGCGAGCCACCTAGAATGGTGGACACATTGCAAAACAGAATAGATAGAACACAGTCTGCAGCAAACAAAGGACTAGATGCATGACACTAGTTAGTGTCCAATCAATATATATATATATTCATTCCAAGCATTCCGATTGGAATATAAGGTTTCAGTGTGGAATCAAGCTGTAAATCAAAAATAAAAAAAAATAAAAAATTTTTAAAGTCTCAGCAGTGGTGGTATTGTTCTTACAGAGTACAGTTACTAGCTTTCTTTCTAGGCTTATTATTGGCCGGTAAACTGAGAGAAGTTTACCAATGTGTCAGCCGGGAATGAGACCCATACCACATGCGCTACTGGTGAGCACTCTTCACTTGAAACATCAAAGCATACGTATACATATATATATGCATATGAACTTGATTTGTTTCTGAACATCAGCATTATGTTGTAATTCTATTCATATAGGATATATTTTATTCATTATTTCTAATACATTACCATGTTTTCTCATTTTCTCGGAGGGTTTCTCTGCATCATCATTTTGATCTCACCTAGACAGAAAGAAGTATCACACATTATCAACAATTCCACTTCATATTCCTCCTCAAGTTAAGTCATGAAAACGCATCAAAGAATACTTCTTGACAGCATCTTATTCTTTATACTTTTGTTAAATATCATGAAAGTAACTACTGGATTAACATATGTTAATTCTATTATATCTGGAATACAACATTGGACTATTTCAAAATCTCCGTATATAATACAACACAATGATCTGTTCATACATAGAGAAGCTAAACTTATCATTGATCCTGGAGTACATATTCTAGTCGGTGCTGGATTATCTATTAAAGTTAAGGGAATTTTATATGCAAAAGGAACTTCAGGTGGGTATATGTTCGTATATTAGAGGCTATCTGCATTTTATTCTATTCCATACAATCATAATAGTAGCACAGTAAACACTGTGTATAATCTGTTGATGTTATTTCGAATATCCCATTTTCTATTGGTGATGCTGAATCAGAATACTTGGTTTCTTGTGTCATTTTTATCTGTTTAAACCAATATAATTTTGTCAATATTTTCTTACTATAATTCTCACCTTGTTGCGTAACGTTTTGATTGCCTGTTAATCTTGTTATTCCTACTGAGATTTATACATTTAAAGTTTGATCGTGGATTGATATCAGTTAGAGAATCATTGAAAACGAGAGAGTAGTGGACTGCTATTTCGTCCTAGTTTTGGGCTCATCATCAGGACGCATCCAATAATCCCTGGTTTTCAATAGTCCTCCGACTAATATTAATCCGTGATGGAACCCGAGACAAATCAATTCCCTACAAAGTGACTCTTGAAAATCTCATGGACTATTTTACTAAGTATACAACTATTTTTCTTCACCATTTATACTATTATTAATATATATATACAGCATGATGAATTCGTTGAAGAGAGACTCTTAGCTAAATCTTTTGTTTTAATTTTGTATGTGTTCCAGGGGGAATTTTCCATGAAGCAATCTAAATCATGTCTATACTTTATCAGTTAGTTGATTTTTAAAATGTCTCAAGATAAAAAGCCAAAATAGGCATCACTATTAAGGAGAGCAAAAAAGAATGAACTATTAAGTGCTTAGATATCACACTTCTTGATATTTCTTAGATTATGAGGTTGATTTCATAGTATACGGACACCGAATAAAGAAACTTAGTGGGTCGTGGAACAACCCTTTCGCCTTATTATTATTTCCTTTAATTCCTAGAGGAAAATGAGGCTTCAGCCGCACATCTCCATTGCGTTCGGTTCTCTGCCAACGTTTTCACCTGGCTCCACGTCTGCCCACATGCTTTCATATTATCTTCACATGACTTCCTCCATGTCACCCTCGCAATGAAGACCGACTCGCCGCTTCCCATCCGCGTTACACCCCATTGATGACCTGGTGTGTGATGTCACTTGATGATTTGTTTTCTCTGAGTATGGCCAATCCACCTCCATTTCTTCCTGCATATTTGTTGCATAATCATTTCCTGATGGGTTGGTTCGCTCCCAGAGATTCGTGTTGCTGGTCATTTCTGGTCATCTGATCTTGAGTATTGAGCGAAGACAGCTGTTGATAAAAGTTTGTGGTTTTTTCGAAGTGCTCTTCACAACGCGCTAAGCTGCTGATCTGTATAGTAGCACTTAATTCAGAATGGAGTTGAAAGTCCGGATCTTATTTTTCTTGCTGACTGCTGTTGACCTCCACACAGATTTGAGAGAAATGAAAGCTTCCCGAAGATCATCCTTTTGATATCCTCACCAGTTCCATCTGCCTATATTTCAAACGATGCTTTCAAGGTCGGTAGATGAAGGAGATTGTTTCTTTCAGATTCCTCTCATTTATGTTGGCTGACAGTTGTCTGTTGTTGTTGTTGCTGTTGACCAGAAATCCTCATCACCTCTGTTTTCTCTATGTTCACCTGAAGTCCTATATTCTCTGGATGCTTCTTCTGCCAACTTGTTGCTTTTCACTTGCATATCTTCCAGTTTGTAGGAAATCAAAAATATATCATCAGTGAAGTCCAGATCCTCCAAGTTTTGTGTGAGTTTATTTTATGCCTGTCTCCTCGTTACCCGATGTCTGCCACACATTGTCCAGTCTACCACAATTAGGAAAATCACTGAAGATAATACTCAGCTAGCCTTGTCTTACTCCCTTCTTCACCTCGAAGGATTCCGCGAGTTTTCCATTGCGGATTACATGGCATGCAGTATTTTCGTACAGCTGTTGGATGAGGTGTATACTTATTGGCGGCACCTTGTAGCAGTGAAGTAGTTGCCGAATCACCTCTCGATCGACGCTGTCGAAGACCTTTTCAAAGTCAATAAAGTTAAGATAGAGAGCTGACTGCCATTCCAAGCTCTGTTCTATAATGATGCCTTAATTCGCTTTTATTTAACAGTATTTCCATTTAATTCTTTTCACAATTTGTGTAAAGCACATTACCATCCAGTTTACATCGTGTGAAAATCAGATCACCAACGGTTTCAAACGTCTACCAACCCACGCTTCAGAATCACTGTCAGACGATATCTCCGGCATTTCTTCTCACTCTTGATACGATGTAAAATACCGATCATATCGTTCCAATCGAAATTTAGTACAATCCATTTTTTTAGAAAATTGCTAGTGAGAAGCGGGTTTGCATTCAAACGTTGTAGTAATGAAAATCTCCTTACAATACTGGGAACAATGGTGTGCTATAAATCAGATACGATGACAAATATCCTGTGACAATATTGTTTGGGGATAGAGCTATGCTGCGTGTAAATCATGAGACATTTAATCTCCATCCAAACAGACAGAATCATATACTGACGCCTCAAAACTTGGAGATAATAAGCACAGTCTCAAGCTTGTTGGTAAATACTTTCAGAGGAAACCAAACTTAGATGAAAGAGCTATCTGTAGCTGATTGGCTGGCAATACATATCTATTGGACTTTTGTGAAATCCACCTGAAAATAGCGTAATGTCAAATTTTATCGAAAACAAAAATTCGCAAGCGAAATAAAGACACTATCTAGCTCCACCAGATTGCTAAAAGATAAGAAGACTATCATCATAATATTTTCCCGTGTACGAATGTTAAACTGAAAATGCCTGGCTACAAAATGTCCATAAAAACTTTGTAAACGCAGCAGTCTCTGTATTTTTAATACCTTAAAGAAGGCGGAGCTGTTGCAGTGTTTATGACCTAGTCGTTTACGAAGGTAGATGTCTAAAGTCACACTGAACAAATTTCATAGTATCTTTTGCTTCAAAAATTTCATACTGTTCATTCCATTAATAAACTTGAACAGATATATCACGATAATTTGAGCTCATTCTTTATTATTTCGCGGTTTCTTCTCAGCTGGTTAAGACTTGAAAAACACAAAAATGTAAGTTACATAAAAGACTCAAAAATACAATTTACACTATGACAAGGATTGATTAATAAGAACTATTTTTTTATTTTATTATTATTGCTCCCTTGGGTTCCTAGTGGAACATAGGGCTTCAACTGCACGTCTCCATTTGCTTCTGTCTTCTGCTGTACTTTTCGCCTACATCCATGTTAGTCCATATTCTTTCAACTCCTCTTCACACGATCTCCTCCATGTCACCCTTGGACGTCCCACACGCCGCTTCCCTTTCGGGTTCCACTCGAGGGCTTGGCGCGCGATGTCACCCAGAGGTCTCCTCAGCGAGTGTCCGATCCATCTCCACTTTCTCCTGCATATTTGTTGGGCGATTGGTTCTTGCTTTGTTTGTTCCCATAATTCCTTGTTGGTGATTCTTTCCGGCCATCTGATCTTCAGTATTGAGCGAAGACAGTTGTTAATAAAGGTCTGCAGCCTTTTGGAAATATACTTTGTGACCCGCCCGCCAAGTTTCTGATCCGTATAGAAGAATGACTGACTTGACGTTTGTATTGAAAATCCGAATTTTGTTGTTGATGCTGCTGAGTGACGAAGATTTCCAGATTGATTTCAGGCTGATGAATGTGTTTCTCGCCTTCCCGATTCTCGATTTGACATCCTCGTCCGCTCCTCCTGTAGTTGAGACAATGCTCCCTAGATAAGTGATGAATGAAGTAACCTCTTTCAAATCCCTCCCGTTGATGGTGATTGACGTTGGATGTTGCTGATGCTGCTGTTGTGTTGGTTGGTTATTTTCATAACCTCCGTCTTGTCTATGTTTACCTGGAGTCCTGTCTTCACTGCCTGCTTCTTCGACCAGTTTGTCGGTTTTCGCTTGTAAGTCTTCGATTGTGTGTGACATCAAACATAAGTCATCCGCGAAATCCAGGTCTTCTAGGTTCTTCACGTCGGTCCAGGATATTCCTGTCTTCTCGTTTCCCACTGTCTGACGCATAATCCAGTCAGTCCACCACAATTAGGAATATCATTGGTGATAGTAAGCACCCTTGTCTGACTCCTGTGTTTACTCCAAACGCCTCGCTGAGTCTTCCGTTGTGGATCACTTGGCAGGTGCCGTTGTCGTACAGCTGTTGAATAAGGTTGATGAATATTTGGGGTACGCCATAGTACTCGAGTAATTTCCAAATTACTTCACGGTCAACGCTGTCGAAGGCCTTCTCAAAGTCTATAAAGTTGAGGTAGAGGTTTGATTGCCATTCCATGCTTTGTTCGATGATGATGCGTAGAGTTGCAATTTGGTCAGTACATGATTTGCCTTTCCTGAATCCAGCTTGTTCTGGTCGGAGTTCTGTCTCCAGTGCGTCCTTTAATCTCTCCAGGATGATGCGACTCAGGATTTTACTTGGCGTCGATAGGAGCATGATTCCTCGCCAGTTCTTGCAGGTGAGTCCTAAGTCGCCCTTCTTTGGTAGTTTCACGAGGTAACCTTTCCTCCAGTCAGTAGGCACCTTTCCCTCCTTCCAGACCTTTTGCAATAATGGAGTCAGCATGTCTGCTGTAGTCTCTGGGTCTGCTTTCAGTGCTTCAGGGGGTATTCCATCTGGTCCGGCTGTTTTTCCAGCTTTCAGAAGTTTGATTGCGTTCAAGACTTCAGCTCTCGTTGGAGGATTGGTGTCAACTTGCAGTTGTGTGCGCGCTGTTGTTGGTATTTCTGGACGGGTTGCAGGTGATGGTCGGTTCAAGAGTCCTTTGAAGTGATCCGCCCATTGTTTAATCTGTTTTTCTTCCTTGGTAATTGGGTTCCCTTGGCTGTCTTTTATAGGTTTCGCTTGTGTTGGTCTCTTCCCGGATAGAGATTTGGTTATCTGATATAGTGTCCTCAGGTCCCTTTTGCCTGCTGCCTTTTCAGCTTCAGTAGCTAGATTGTCGTAGAATCGTCTTTTGTCCTTCCTAGCACTTTTCTTCACTTCTTTGT